AATAAAACCCCGTAACTTGGAAAAGTTAAATCTAAAATTTATAAATTTCGAAAGGGAGCTCATGGCAATAAATTTAAACAATTCACAAAAATTTCTTGCAAATTGGTGAAAGCATTTTTGAGTTATTGTCCGAAAACTGGAAAATCACCCTTTTTAATGAATAAAATACCATAACTCGTAAACGTAAAATCATATACCATAATACGTCCCGTAAACGGGCGTATAAAAATGTATCATTTTTTTAGGTTGAATCTTCAAAAAAAATCGTTTTGCTACTCTCAACGGTTTTTTAACCTTTTAATGAATTACGCCCCCTATTTCCTCGGACCGTGTATCCGTCTCTGTAACCTTTATAAAAGACTGTGAATGAATCTCGAGATTTGGAATCAAACCACTAAGCTGAGAAAGTGTGCATAAATACAAGATTAACAGTTAATTCGAAGACAAATTACAAACATGGTCTTATCTCTTAACTGCAACACTAGAAACAGCGCAGTACATACCAATCTTATTTTGCTTTGTAATTGTCGATGCTTTATAGTCCCATCAAGCTGTAATCGTTCATGAAAACAAGACTTCATTGTCCTATGTGAAACAAATTTCCAATGTCCCCCGCGTTGCACATATTTTATCTATCCAAGGTACAAGGGCAATAACTAAAATAAACACTTTTTATGCCCGCGCCACAATGAGGGGGGGGGGGGGGGATTAAGTTTTACCCTTGTCAGTCTGTATGTTAGTACGTCCAAAAGTTGGTTTCCATTTTCTAACTTTAGTTTGCCTCAACCAAATGTTATGAAACATATACACAATGCTTATTACCACAAAACAGAGATCAAGTTTGAATTTTGGTGGCGTCATTTTAACCGTTCCCGAGTTATGCCTGTTTTACTTTACTTTGCTTTGTTTGATACTTTAGAAATGTTTAAAACCGAGAACCAGATCAGTTTAGAACTGTATAGTTTGCCTAAAATTACCTGGTTAACTGAAGACATTTCTAAAAGTGACCATTTGATCGTAGGAGAACCCTTCTGGAGCCCTTTCTTTTCCTCTAATACAGACCATATAATGTGTTCGACTTTTCATGTTCTACTTTTTTTCTTAAACTAACGCAGCAAAAGCAAATATCTCACCTTTTCTCCTAAAATGTCAATTACTGTACCATTTTGTCATTCACTCTGTATCTATAAAGAAGTTCGGGTTAAAGGGTCATCCCAACCATGCATAGTAAATAATATATACCGATTCGATTGGCCAATAACTGTTTTAACACATGACGCCACCAATTTACTTGTCCATTTTGGAAATATGCGGACGATAAATCGCAATCCACGGCTCCCAGAAAAATTTCTTGTAGGGTGAAGAAAGGGGAAATACGCCTTTAATTATGTAGTAATAAAAGGTTGGTAAGTTTTAATTTATTAACTTTTTTATATTTAGGCTTCTTCCTAAATTGTTACATTATTTGAAGAATTGCGATTTAATGGTAGATTTTTTTTATCGTTTCTGTTAGATTTATTCTCAATATTTATATAAATTAGTAAAGATTAAGAATTTGACATATTGTGTAGAAACCTATAACTATTTTTGAAAACTGTATGTTGCCCGCTAGATGTCTTTAGTTGTTTTTTTTTTTTTTTTTTTTTTTTTATTGCTGTCTTATTAACGTATAACCTAAATCTCCTACAGTTTTAGTTCCGTTTTGGTGTACTTTTAAATAGGTGTTTCATAACTGAAAGGGTTATTGAGTATATATTAATTGCTTTTCTTCCATCATCATCATCAGCAGCAGCAACAGCAGCATCAGCAGTATCACAGGCTGAGGCATCACTTATTTTTCAGGCTTTAACATAAGCTTGGATTTTCGACCTGACAATGTCATACATGTCTTCTCTGCTTAGTTCATACTATTTGTTTTATTCAGTCTGAACACAGGCATCATTCACAGACATTGAGATAGTTGAAAGATCATTAACCGCACTTTGAACAAAACCCTTATCTTTTCTTGATAAGTGAACCTTCTTCTTTTTTTCATTTTTCCCCAGTCAGTTACAGACTGTTTTACTACTGAACTAGCTTATTCACTCCCTGGTTCCTCTTCATCTATTGAGACTGACATCAAAGCATTTAGCATATTACTTTAAAGTCTAGATCTCAAACGAGTATTGATCCTCTTTACACCGTTTACAACTCTCTCAGGCCTTGCATTTGAATCAGGTACTACCCAAATGCATCAGTTATGAAATTAAATCTCGAATAAAATTTGAAGCTTCTATTATCTTATGCAGTGACGACTGGAACGATGATACTTTGCAGGGTCCATTTTTTTGGTTTACACTATTCTGAAATTTCTTTGTTCATGCTATTCATGTCATATCTAGACATATCAAATTGGGCTACTATCTCTGTCTCTCTGTTTTCTTACCTCTTCACTTGATAAGTTTTGAGTCAAATGTTTCCATAATTTGAAAACCCTTTAGTTTCTTTTCTTGGAGGTTACAGAATTATTATTGTAATGTCTTTGATTTTATTTATGTATCATCCTGAATCAGACATTTTGCAAGTTTTACCATTGTCTAAGTTGAAATCTTCAACAAAATTGCCATACCATTGAACATTAGATTGAAATTTACACTGTATTTGAATACAAACAATAGTATACAAAACACAACATAGAAAACTAAATACTCAGCGACAACAAAAAAAACATCAAAAACTTGGGATGATATCAGGTGCTCACCCATCGTATGTCTCAAGATTATAACACAATGTTGACTGCTGAACCCCTATTTTTGACATTTTTTCTTATTATGTTTTGTTCACACATTGTTGTCAATATAATGGAATTTTATGCGAATGTCATACAAGTGAGATGTTTAGCTAGCTATGAAACCAAGTTTAATCCACCATTTTCTACATAAGAACATGCCTGTACCAAGTCAGGAATATGACAGTTGTTATCATTTCGTTTAATGTGTTTTGAGCTTTTGATTTTGCCATTTGATTATAGACTTTCCGTTTTGAATTTTCCTCGGAGCTCGGTATTTTTGTTATTTTACTTTTTTTCAAGTACCAACCCAGTGATAAGTCACATTCGAGGAAATTAAAACGGGATTGTGTTTACAACAATTGAAACAGAAAATAACCGTCGTTATCTGTGCAACAGATATTCCACAACGGTAAGCAGGTTTGCCAGGAGTTCACGATATGTTTTTTCTATGAATATTGAGATCTTAGATAACTAGGGAGAGACAATCTGGAAAATATCAAAATTTAACGGAAACTTACTTTGTCCAATCACCATAACATTGTAAAGTATCAATTTAATCGTTCAAGCATACTACAGTAAATGTGCAACATGTGAAACATTACTTGAAGGATGTATTCTTCTGACATTTCAGTCTCGTTGAAATCTCGTTCTTGAATTATTTCGAAAACATGTAATACAAGTAGAAAATATCAATGAATTTAAAAAATATTATAATCAAACTTAACTCTGTGAAAAAATTGAGTATTTACAAGAAGTAGTTTTTGAGTAATAATAAATTCAAACTTTATACCCAATCAAGTCAGTCTCATTAGCCAAAATGTTGAGAAAATGGGTGTGGGGTACAAGAAATGATTTTACCAGATGTATGTACATCCCATATCATTTTTTTCTTTTAAAATTTCTTAGATATGTATTGGTTCAATCATTTATAACAAAGAAGTTGAAATAATATGTTTTTGTTCTAAAACAAAAGACAAAAATATAAAATTGACAAAATTGACAACATGTTAAATTTGACACGAAAAAGCAACAAAATTTTATAAAACTTTCTTATATTAACACCTACCGATAGTTTTTTTTAAGCTAAATTTATTCAGATTTGTCCATTTCATCTTTAGTGAAAGTATGAAAAAAAGTTAAATTGTGAAACTGTGATTTTTTTCATGATAATAGCCCAAAAATGGGTAAAAATTTGATGAAAAATGGGAAAATCAACAAAATTTTGTACTTTCAAATGGCTGTAGCAAAAAAAGAAGTGCACCACTATATGATTTTTCTTCACCAATTTTGTTTTACAGTCATATTAACCCAAAAATCAGGTTAAGAAAAAAAGTTTAATTCTAGAAATGTTGGCTCCTCAGAGGTGTACATCCTTAAAAGAGTATGTGCATTATTGGCCCTTTATGCCCTCAAAAATGAAGTTTTACAGAACAATGTGATTTTAGCTTCAAAATAATCCTTAAGTATGAACTAAGTTTGAAACGTAATATCTTTGAAATCTCTTTATTTTTTACAGATATTTAGTAGTCTAAAGATAGCGAAATTCCAATCATTTTACAAAAAAATATTACATGAAAGGTTTTGTTTATATAGACAAACATTGCGGTTAATTATATAGTTGCCAATTGCATGCGCTCTATATTCGTGTGTCCAATTTTGTGCCAAAATGCCAAAATCTATATATTTTTCATCAAAAAACGTAGAAGGACTTTTTTCCAGATTTCCAAACTACATGTATTGCGACGTGATGGGAAAAACACTTTTGGTTTATATTTTCACCAAACCTCAACTTTAAAACCGACTAATATTGAAATATTACATTGTAAATAAGCCAAATAATACCTTTATTGCACCATGCCTTTTGGCAGTTAAAGTCCAATTACTTCCTAAATACATATCTAAAATCATGTTTTATGAAAAAGCATGAACTGAAAACGTACAGGTACAACATTGAAATAAAAGGATTAATTTACATACACCTGGGATCCAGTTGATAGAGAATCTATATTAAGTTGAATAGTAGGCTTCAGAAAACCAATAGCGTTTTGCACATAAATAGTTTATGTTCGGTATAACAGGTTAAATTAGAACAATGAGATACGTAATAACATTAGACAGACAAGGGAAGTACTGAAAAAGATAGGCAAAATCATAAGTCATTAGATAAACGCATCATTAAGGATTTGTTGTACATTGAATATATTTGGTTTTTTTAGATGGTTGAGTTTAACACATATCTTTAAATTAGGAGTTATTGTCACAAAATCAAAAATCGTCTTAAAAAAGAGGCGGAAAGTTCTTGAAGTATGTATATATTTATGATTTTTTGTACTCTGTTAGTTCCACGAAATCATGTATTTTATGCGGTTGAAAAAAGGGATATGACCATAATACTTATATTTAATAAATTGTATACATTCAACAGTCTCATTCTAAATTTTAAATATAATAATATCAGGATTTTTTTTTCTGTGATAAAATTTTATTAATCCTAGCGTTAGGTAAAGAAAATCCCGTAAAATCCTATATCACAAACTTATATTAGCTGAATATAAATAGTATCACAGCAAAAACAAGGATTGAAATGCAAATTTGAAATAAAAAAAACTCACCCTGAGATATCTAGACGGCTAATTTCCAAAAACCGATACTTGTGTCGATGATTGGTCGGTCATTGAGCGTGGTTTCGATCTCTATCAGGTTGCAGTTCTTACAGTCTCATCGTTGACATGTACACAACTTAATATTTTGTCAAGCAAATCATCCTTTCCCACATGTCTCCGAACCATAGCACTCTATTTGGGATGAACATGATGAATTTTAATTCAACGCAATAACTTCATTTTCCATAACTTTTCAAAGTCGTGAAATTTTGCTTGATGCAACTTTGAATGTTAGCGCATTGACTGAAATCCCTGTTATTGGCATTGAACGTCGACTTACACATCTCTGAAAAACACGATGAAAAAACAATTTTGCGCTGAGATCTTAAACTAATTCCAAAAGTACAGCTCGAGTGACGGTACTTGCAAATAGGAAAATGTAAACCTTCGCTTCCTCGTTGTGTTGGTTCCTTATCGTTAGCGCTCCTGTAGAGTCTACACCGGTAATGCTAAAGGGTGTAGCATCCTGAACTCGCTCTTTCGGTAATGTTGGAAATTCTGGTGCGGGATAAGATTTTTCGATTACTTCTCTGCATTTACAGTACACACTGGGACATAGTCTGATAAATCATCAGCATCCTATATGTCTGACATTGGATGTCATGCATTTATTGGGGTCATAAACCATTGACTGCTAGGAAATTTAAATATGTCTACCTGCTGGACCAATTATTAGGTGGTCACCCAGGTCTGTAATTGTGCTGCCAATTTTTTGGCAATTTTGTTTCATATTTTACCTGCAAAGTTTCATGTTTACCTTTGTTTTAAAGGTGAACTTTGGATATGAAAAATCAATTAAACAGGAAATGAAAAAAATATTTATCTGGTTATAGTTAAAGAGGATATTGATTAATTGTATATTTTTTTTTAATTTATATGAAGTAAATCATATGTAAATGCTATCTTTTTATTACTCCTAAAATATTCATCTAATTATATTCGTTTTATGATATATTTAACATGAAAGGGCTAAGGATTTAAGTATTTTTAGTATTTTGGTATTTTGATATTTTTCTAGACTAATTATACATTATAGAACTTTGGAAACACAATTTATTATAAAACAATCATAATCATCAAATTATATTATGGTTACGAAAAAAAAATGTCCACGCAATTTTGAACAATTTCAAATATTTAGAAAGTTTGATTAATAATAAATGTGAGTACCATCAGTTACACCTTGTATTTGATGTCTCTGGTACAATGTATGCTACAAAAGTAAATGAAATATAAATTCTTACAATTTTAAATTAGGAAAATAAAATCTAACAAACACATTTAAAACCAAAACCACTAAAAATATTGGATTTGTATTCAGTGAAATTAAAAGATTATCACTACACATGTGACACATTCAGAGTCACTGCTTTATTGTTCATGGTTCATGTATTTATAATAGTATACTCATTAACAGAAAAATGAGTCTAAAGTAAAATAAATGATAATGATTTAAAATGACCATGCTGACAAATAAAATCATAACTAATATTTATCATTTGTTTAACATTCATTTAGACTTTACCTATAATTTATTATGTTTTAATCCCTTTTATACTTTACTGCCCTTAATCAAGACCTGATAATTCTATTACATCTGTTTTGTCACCTATTCCCCTAATCACAACATGTGGTCTAATCAGGGACCTCAATGCCTAGAATGTCAGACATACAAAATACCAGCATTTTTCAGAGTATGTTCAAGTGTGTACTGTAACACATTTAGATAATATAGATTTTACACACTGTCTTAATTTCGGAATCCAAAACGTTTGTTGTATGTAAGCTAGAGTAACATTTATACCTGAAGGAATAGTGTTTTTGTGTGCTTCTTACACTATTTACTGTGTAGTTTAGTATTTTGACGAGTACGGTAACAGATATGGAAACTTGACTGTTTCTGCAACTGTCGCATTGTCTATTTGGTGTCCACCACATTGGCAGAGTTTCTTTTCGTCTAGAAAGAGCTTTAATTGTCGTACGAGTGCTTTACGTTTTGAATAATTATCGTTACAGTTTATTTCGTCTCTAAATATTTTGCGTTGCGTATATCTATTCCATAGGTATTTTGCATTTTCAATTTCATCAATATGTAACAAAGATTTCTTCCGATAGTGTTCCGTTGCTCTGCAGTTTGTGCATTGTACATTGTTTCTACACCATGCTACACAAATGTTTTAATTTTCTCAATTCTATTTCTGATAAATTGTCTCTGTGGTTACGGATGCAAGTCAACTTGGTACGATTTCACTGACATTTCAAAATTGTATTTCAATGAAAGTTCCAAGAAAGTTTTTGCAGATATGATCAGCAGGTCTTGTTTCGATCACAGCACCCATGAGCTCTATTTTTGGTTTTCCGTCGTACACGATTTATGCGCATGCGCCGTACGCATGTATTGATGAATCGGTAAATACGTGTGATTTTGTGTTAATTTCGTTTTGTGGACTTCGATTTCTCACCGTTTTAAAGCTCGGTGCAATATCTCGTGAAATAATATCTATTTCGATTGAATATCTTCCGGTAATATTTCGTCCCACTCAAAATTTAGCTTCTAAAGTGATTGCATAAAGATTTTCGTTTTCACAGCTGCTGGGCTTAATAATACTAACGAATTTGAAAATCTTGGAAAATTGTCATAAAATATACCGTTTTTCCAGTTTTCCTTTTTCGTCTATTTCAAAGTTGTTACAGTCCGTGTAACGTAAAAGTTAACAATACGAACGATGCCCGAACCATGTACGGACGATGCCCGAACGATGTACGTACGCTTCCCGAACGGTGTACGAATGCAAACGAAACGCTGACCGAACGTTGTACGGACGCTGAACGAACGATGTACGAACGAAACCATGTACCATAAACCATACCATTAACGATAACATAAGCTCCCTTGTATCGTTAATCGTATGGTTTTGCGTACATCGTTTCATTTAGCGTATACCGTATCGTTTAGCGTACATCGTTTCGTTTAGCGTATATCGTATCGTTAAGCGTACATCGTTTCTTGGAGTACATAGTTTCGTTTCGCGTATATGTTTTTTTTAATATAAAACAAGAATTGTGTTCTGTTAAATCTTTTTATATAGGTGATAATATGCGTAAAATTTAGATTGGATGCATGTTTTAGTTTTTAATTAATAATTTAATAAATTATAATTTAATCTGACTCGATGTTGATCCAACATTATTTACATAAAAAGTTTGAAAAATAAACACTGAAATAAATTTAAACAAATTAAAAGATACAATTATGATTTTTTTTTAGCCGTAGAAATACGGACTTGGTGAATGTGCGAGTAAACTACTGTCTGCAGAGTATTAAACGATTTTTTTTAGATTATAGATTTTTTTTATTCATTTTCAAATCAGACGAAAAAAAAACAAATATTCGAGAAATTTAAAATAAAAACAATTACTCATTATGTGCCTTATCAACCTCAAACATAAATCCCTACCAATGTACAAACGATTGTGTATTATTTTACCTATAAATGCACTTGACTTTAAACAATCATCAACGATTGTCCGGCAAAAAACTAGACCATTTCCCTCTATTCTTTAATTTTGTTAAACCATTTTCCTCTGTTCTTTATTTTGCCTGTTATACTCTATTCTAATTTTATAAAATGTTTTTCTTTATTTTCCTGTATCTATACCTCCTTTATTCAGAGCAACCCACCCTAAATATACATATGATACACACGGTCTATAGGTCATCGCTTGTACCGTGATACACATGTTTGCATAACAAAGGATACCTTGACCTTGTTCATATTTATAACATTGTAAATGTCCTCCTAATGATACATCTAATAGTTACCACTGGACATTAAACAGCTAACTATAAATTCATCCGTCATATTCTTAGTTTTGTTATAATGTGAAAATCAAACAACATGATGAAACAATAATTATTGCAGATTTTCACTACGGAAATCATGGGAAATAATTGTAGACAAAACCACTCAATCACATCCCTACACCACAAATTAAAGTCTAGCCTTTTCGCATTAAAATACATTATTTTCATAAATCTATTTCTAAATAATTTTAAACAATTTTGAATCGAACGGTCATTTTTCTTATTTGCCATAAAAAAAAACAAAAAACAAACAATTATTTTCATTTCTCATTTTAAACAGATCGATGGTTTTTCAATGGTCGGTGCCTGTCAGCATTTATAAAATCTAACACCGTGTTTGCCAGAAAGAAAGCTACATAGAACAGGAAAACAACAATGTCTTAGAAATACTTCCAGGCCCTATTTTCTAATTTCTGTTGTAATGTGGTGTAATGCAAAAAGAGTAACTCCTGAATACTGATTTGTACCCCTTAAGCATTTGTGGTTAATAACAAATCTATGGTAGTCTCTTTTTTTTTACTCGCAAAGTATTCTACTAAATCATGTTTTATTTATGAAAATTGCTCATGGCTGACGAATGTTAAACATTGATCCCTAGATTTTCAATTGTTTAGTTGTTAGGTTACTGTCTGATCTCGCAAACCTGACATTTTATGGTCATTATTTTTTGCATCAAATTGCACCAATGTTTTAAAAAGATATAAACGCGACACCGTACGAGAGTCGTTATTTTACATAAACTATTAGTATTTATTTCTATAACGAAATACGAAACC